GTTTTGAGCTTGTCAAAATAAAACCGTATGCGTCAGTAATCGATAATTTTCTGCATCTGACACATATTCACGCTCTCATAATCATGAAATTTTTGTTTATTCTATTATAGTTCTTTTTCTGTGGCTAAAACAATAAATTAGAAAATATTAATAATAATGTTAATTAAATGATTAATTATTGTTGCTGGCGCATTGTTAACGATCGTATTTTATTGCTTGCAGCGCGTTTGGCGCGCTTGTCGCCGGTGCGTCGGTTAATTATTCGAATTCATTAAACAAGGGGTGCCCACCCCGCCGGAATGTGCTAAGCTGCCAAAACGGTTGCAACAATTTACATAATCCGTTTGCATTATCGGATTTAATAGACGCGGACGCTAGTTTAGCGAGTTGAAGTGCGATGGTGAAGGCGCCGGGCAGTTGGCTGGCATTGTTCACGGCATATTTCTCGCGGTTTTACGTCCAAAAACGCCAAACATGCGGGGCGGCGTAGCCGAAACTATAATTGAAATTTTCGTGGTTGGCGTTCACCGCACATATCAAATCAACACGTGTGCTAATTGAAAATTAAGCAAAATTTTACATCAACTTAAAAATCTGATCTAATATTCAATCAAAATATTTATTATTTTTTTGATGTAAAAGTAATCCAATCAAATTAAATGAAGGCAGCGAATGTCTCCATTTTGGTTGATTATACGCCATTATAAATTTAAAACAGACGTATCAGTTTTCTCGGCGTTCGCAGCATTCGAAACGCATTTCAGCAGGTTTCCACCGTTTCGCATCCCACGCGTAGCGTGCTCCAGCCGCCGCCGACATCGGCATCGCACCCCCTCCGCGCCAAAGCACGTGTACACACACAGGGTGACGCAGAGAGCTGCAAAGTGACGTCACAGCGGCCATATTATCGCGTGACGTGGCGCGAGCTGCGAGCGGCGAGCTAGCGAGCGAGCGGCGGTGGCGGCGGCGGCGCGCTGATCGATACGCACATAACTGCAGTGGCGGCAGCGCGCACTCGAGTCGACTCGTGTGCGGCGCGGAACGACAAAACCAACCTAGAAGGAATTTCCTCTTCTATAAGACTGAAATAAAACCAAAAAATTCACAAATTCTTAAAAAATCACAAAAAAATTGAAAACCTTAAAAATTCATAATAAATTAGTAAAACCGCAAAATTTACTATTTACAGTATGATATAATTGTATTTAATTATATATTATAAGCATAATATTGTATTGTTTTGTGTTCAACTTTGTTTTCTCATAAAAGTTTTTCAAATCGTCAACTTTTCGCGCGTTTCATGCGGCTTCCACTGCGTCGGCGGCGGTAAAAACCGGGTTATGTAGCGGCGGCGGTAGCGGCGGCAAGCGGAAAAACCTCCACGCGATTCGTGAATTCATTGCGGGTCAATACACTTCGGCCGGCGAAAGGTGACTAGCGAGTGCTGCGGTGCGCGTTGTGGTGGAGGTGCCGGGCGCGCGCTATTATAATAATGCAAAGCGGAGCCTTCAAGCTTTCGAAACTGTTCAATAATTTCACACGAGGCACAAAACTACCTGCTACTTAGTCGAGAAACACGCGTACTGAGCTAGAAAGCCACAAATTATGATATATTTATCGCTATTGCTACAAAGTTACTTTTCTAAACAACATTAAACAAAAAGTCATAATATCTCCTCAAGATTTAAAAAAAGTATTATTTTAATTTATAGATACTTGTAGATTGATGCAGTTTACTTTGGTAAAAGTGAGGTTAGGCAGTTTGTTTGTCACCCAACACAAGAAAACTGACAGTTATTTCTAGCTAATTTATAGATTTTGATCATTTTGAGGAAAACATCTACAAAATAATATATTAAGTATCAAGTGGCTAAACGAGTGTTTTAGTCACGACATTGATTCAGGGCGAGCGTTTAAGCAATCCAGTGTTTAACAACGTTTAGCCACGCGATGCTTACGCTATTCTTTCTACTTCCACTCTAGTTCCACGTTTAGGTTTTTATATTTGAACTTTTTTAATTTAAATCTTCGAAATTTGCTTGCATACTACTGGGAAATGTAATTTAAACACGACTTGCAGCAGCGCCTGGTTTGACTTGTGTGAATGGCGGCGCAAGCTCCGCCCCGTAAATAAAGCCCGTAAAGGAAAGTACTTTACTAACGGCCTTGGCTGTCCGTGTTTAAAGTACCACTTTTTGTGTCTAAAAACCGTGGAAAACTGGCGTTTTAAAGGAGGAAGTAGGAAAAATATATTTTTCACAATGTACAGTGTTAACAGCTCTTATTTTCTGGTCGCAATTAGATAAAAGTGTATTTTGAGGTTAAATATGACACGAAACCTAAAATTCCAATGATTGAGATGCCGTCCAAGTGCATTATTAACCCCCACAAACCATTTATTGATAAAACAACATTATCTCTATGAAACTAACGTGATTATGTTATGATCACCGAAGCTTTACGTCAGTTGCTCAAGTAAATCATCTTTCATTTTTATTTGCTTTGTTTATACTGCAATAACCACATAAATCATGTACTCGTACTTAGCCAACATTAAAAAAAATATTGATTGCAATACTATTCAAATATCATCCACATATTCCTCACCGTAAATTTATTATTGATGATATTTGCTCGTCACTATCACAGATTTTTTTCTCCACGCCCAAGAAGAAATTTATGATTGCTGCTACTTTTTCAGCATTCGCCAAGCAATTTCTTGTTGATCAAGTTGATATATTTATATGTATAATGAACTGCCGGCGTGCAATAAGACGCGAGATGCGTGGTGATGCTAGGCGAGCAGCTCGCGAGATATATTGTTTAAATATTCGCGGCGTGGTTGGCGGTCGGGTCGGCGGCGCATGATAAATAACGAACTGGCCGAATGCCAAGAGGTCTTGCGCGGGCTGCTTGAGATTAGCGCACGCCACTCGCGACGCGATAAATCAGTTCGACCGACCTCGCCGATTCAGCCGGCGTCATGTCTTCTTGCCGCCCCTCGCTGAAAAGTCATTTCAGCAACTACATCATAACTTTATCTGCATATATTTCTAGTGTTTTCTAACAGTAATTGTAAAAATAAAAGGATTGCATGGGTTAAACATGCGCATGCGCAGTAAAATTAAATATTTGCTTTACTTATGTAAATATTTATGTTTTTGATTCTAATTAAAAACGATCACTTGTTGAAAACGTATTTTTAGCGGTCGTGCGCTACTTGAGGTTGCACTGCGCCGCCATCGTGCCACCCCCGTCGTTGTTTAAGTGTTACACGGTCGACCGCCATCGCTCAGACGGATTGGCGGTGGTTTTGCGGTATTTTTGGCTCAAGTAGGCCAGTGTCGGGTAAAAATATAAATTACACATTAATGAGGACTGATTTCTTTTAAGTGGAACTCGATAAGTATCAATAACAAAACAAATTCAATCACAATTTATTTTTATCTACTCTTAAACATTGGTTATACCGTTACCCAACCTACAAAACGTAAATTCACACTAATAAGCATAAATATTTCACACTTTCAATTATTATCCTTGAGAATGCGTCAGGATAACACAATTAAGTGTCGCGTGGGTATTTATAGCGCAGTACTTTTTACGACCGCCCGAATGCATATGTTGTCGGGGGCGGCAGGCGGAGGGCGCGGACGGACGACGGCCGGCACGTCCAGCACGTGCGAGCGCATCGAGCGTGTAAAACTATAACTCGGAAATCGGAGTTTCCCGGTCGCGGCACGAATGTGTACCAAATGCGCGGACGGTGGGGGCGGCGGCGGGACGTAATATATTTATGTGTGTGCGCGCACTGCCAGCGTGTAATTCATCCGGGTATGATGAGGTCGGCCAGCCAGACGACGCCGCCGTCGCTTCTTGCGAATGGTCCAGACGGCGCCCGCCAACCCAGTTAATCCTGGCGATTGATTGTGAATTACACCGAATTCAGTTACACTTCGAGAGGATTTTTTAGGTCATGGCGACAAACAGATAAAAATTTTATATGTATTAAATCCTTGAAAGTTTCAAATTAAATTAATTCAATTCATAATAATAATATTTGAGTATTTAGGGCGTTGTTAAATTTATGCTTTGCCCTTTTATGTTTTTTATGACGCTGTTGGAGAAGAAAGGTACTGACACAGCTAATTTTTTGTTCCGGTTATCGGAGATGTCCTCGCGGTGTGGAATTTTTAAAAAATGCGCACATTTTAATCCCACTTTTTCCCACTTTGCGCCACACTTAACATTGACTTCATTATCACGTGCCGCGCTACGCCGCCGGAAAGGCGGTCCACTCTGATTCACTCAAAAGGACGCGAGGACGAGCACGACGCTGAGAGTGCGGCTTGGCTGCCAAATGCTTCAATTAGAACGCGACATTGACTCACTGGTGAGCAAAAAGTGAAAATGCAACATTTGCATGTCCTCTCGAGTCTCAAGCCGCGGAAAACTCAATTCTGCAAAACATGATGAAACTTATAAACTGAAACAAGTGGCATTAATAAAGACAAATTAGTTTATGCGCCACTGCGCCGCATAAATATAGATGAAAGAAACAAAAATCGAAGCAAACCGGAAGTTTTTTTCGAGATATGCAACACACTTTACTGCAATATGCAGTTTATACATTGTAAATCGCTCGCGTCCGCGTTTTTCATCTTGTTATCGAAGGGAAAGTTTCTTTTTCGCGTGTAATTTCACGACTTCCTGTTTCGTGGCAGCCGGCGAAGGTGAGTGGAGGGTTCAGTAGGCCGCGCCGAAATCAATCGATAAAAGATGTGACATTTTAAAAGTTCAACCGGTAGGCATGCGACTAAAAATAAACCTATCTATCGGTGTTTTTGAGCAACGGGCCTCAAAGTGTTACACTTACTAATATATTCTTTGATATTACTAAATTTAAATCAATGTAAAAGTGGGTTATACACGTCACACAATAATAATGTATGCAACTCTTTATACAGATTTTTAAAATTTTTTGTATTTGAATTTTTCAGGTTGGCCGCAGCGCAGGAAGCGGCGGCTCAGGCGGTGCAGCAGCAGGCGGGGGCGGGCGCAGCTGATAGAATGGGGGGTGTGAGGGAAGCGGGCGGCCAGGGGCCCAGCTCGCTCTTCCTGTTGTCCGACGAGAATTTCATCCGTAGATACACGCGCTTCATCATCGAGTGGCCATATCCTTTTCTTACTCATTCACACCAACCGGAAATCCGGAAATGATCCGCAATAACACAAAATTTTCCAAAAGCAAACATGTTTACAAATCTAACACTATTTTAAAATAACCCATACTTGCATAAATGTAAACTTGGTTGCATACTTTCTAAAATAATTCAAATGTTTTTCCTTAATGATAAATTTACTCCGTTTGAGTATGCCGTGCTTTCGACAATCATAGCAAACTGTGTGGTGCTGGCGCTGGAGGAGCACCTGCCCAATCATGATAAGACTATGCTAGCACAAAAATTAGTGAGTATTTTCAAAATTTCGGAAGAAAACTTGAAAAAATTATTTAAAACACACTGTAACACATTTTTCTTTCGCACAGGAAAAAACAGAGGCATACTTTCTAGGAATATTCTGTGTTGAAGCTTCGTTGAAGATTCTAGCATTAGGTTTCGTTTTACATAGAGGATCATATCTCAGAAACATTTGGAACATTATGGATTTCTTTGTCGTGCTCACAGGGTAAGTGTTCAAAACCTATTCTACCAATAACCAAACTGTTACTGTTAAAATAAGCGTAATAATTACATAATTCAGATTTAGCGCTGTCGAAATCCCGATTTTTTGACAGCCGCACTCTTTTGACAGGTCGTCGAAATCGAAAAACAAAACCTCCACCCATATTAGTGATACGTAGATAATAAACGTGAATAAATTGATGAATGCACTACGTATGAACGTTTTTAATGCGTGTGACTCTTGATGTGTAGCCTGTATCTATATTCACCTATTGATGTTGTGCCGAAAAAGTAAACTGTTGCTGTCTTCGCTCAGGTCGATGACCATTTTTGCCGAAGCGAACGTTGACGTTGATCTGCGGATGTTGAGGTCGTTTCGCGTGTTGAGGCCGTTGAAGCTGGTGTCCAGGATCCCAAGTATGTTCGCGAGCCCGCCCACTCCGCCCAATCATCTCCACTAAGTCACTACTTTACTTTACTTAGCGAACTACTAGTGTTGCGTATAACAAACAAGTACAAATGTGAAAAAACACACTGAACAACTTAACCAACATACACGACTCTCACACGTAATAGCATACAGTTCGTTCACACACGCTCTCTCTCTATCTCTATCTTCTTGTCTTCTTGACTTCTTTTTGACCTGCCAGTTGACTGTCTTTCTGTCTAGCTCTATTTCAGTGGGCCCGCTGTAGCACAGAACTAGAGACTTGATCGTAACAATAATATTACTTAGCTCTTTCTTTCATAGTTTTAGATGAATACAGTACTCTACAGTACCGTCTACTGAGTTTCACATCATGATTTATTTTTGAATTTAATTTCATTGCAAAATTATCAAGAAAAAAATTAATTAATTATTCCCTGTTTAATTTCTTATGATTATTTGATTTTGAACCAGTAGTTTAGGTAAAAATTGTAACGATTATTCAGTGCGTTTGCAGGTGTGCGTTGTTTTAGTCGGTGTCTATATATATATATAATATAAATATATTTCGTGTCAGACTAAACCTCTAAATTTGACCTTTGATTAATTTTTTCGTATTGACATTGGTGAATTACTCTCACTCTTAGCGTGATTAATCAAGTGGCGTTGATTAATCCTTGCGATCTCAGCCAGTATGCATGTTTTTTTGTAGATGGACAGTGCTCGATTGCATTTCATTGTAGTTTTTATATAAATATATACATATAAATATATATATAGCATATAATTATGACGAACATAGCACGTGTTTAATTAACGATTGATTTGTTTTTAATGCGAAAAAGAAAGAAAATCATTATGATGAGTGATAACCAAATTTGAAACACTAAGAGTACGAATACGAATCTGACCTTTGAATGGATATATATTGTGTTTGTGTCGTTAGAATTGACTTTGTACATAAACAAATCACATTGATTGCTTTATTGACTATTTGCGTCGATGAAAACGAAGTGTTTTTTCTGTTTTCCTCACCCGTTCATATCGATTGCGTGAGTTTGAAAGCATTAAATAAGGCATTACCTTGTTTGACAGTAAGCACACTTAATATTTTTCAATAAATTAATTACTCAAAAATATGGCTATATTTGGATGTAGAATTTAATTCAGAATATGTTTTTTTGTCAATTTTACATTTTATCACTAATAAATTGCACAAAAATTGTTTTTTTTGTGTGAGATTGTCAAGAATCTTTTATTGTGTTACTAAATTTCATTTTTTTCTTTATAACTTTGTACATAACTATCGGACGAACTACATTTTAATTAAATTAGATGCAGAATTTAATATAGAATATATTTTGTTGTCAATTTAATATTTTATCGTTTCTCGTTGCTCAAAAATTGCATTTTTGTTGGATATTACAAAGAATTTTTCACTTTTTTGCTAAATCCAACTTTCATTGTTTATAACTCTATCCATAATTATTGTACCAACCGAAATTTGATATAATTTGGCGCAGAATTTAATATAGAATGTATTTTTCTTTTATTTGATGTTTTATAGTTAATTATAACCTCAAAAATGTTCAGGTTTTTTCAATTACATCAAAATTACATATTTTTATTACTAAATTTAACTTTAACGGCTTATAACTCTAGTAAAATTATTAGATAAACAAGTGTTGCTAATAATGAGACACAGAATTAAATTCCGTATAAATTTTCTTTCATTTTATTAATCTATTGCTTTCTAATTACTCAAAATTCACAATTTTGCATGTTTCACGAGAATCTTGCAATTTTCTACTACATCTAAGTTCAATTGTATATAACTCGATGTTTAATTATCGAATACACAATTTTTTTACATTATTAGATGCAGAATTTAATACAGAATATATTTTTGTTAAAATTTATCATTTATCGCCAACGGTTTTTGAGTAATTAATTAAAAACTGTAAGAATAACCATGAAATGATTGTGTGTGAACCACAACAAGTTTTCTGTACATAAGTTTCTCTGTCGATTTCCTCTATAAAGTCTTTTTGTACTAAGAAAATAATGTCGTAACGTCGTCGTTTTTTCGGCCCCGAGGTTCGGGCGGCGAGTGCGCGGCGCACTTATCGATTTTACAATTATAATTAATTATGTCGCACGCAGGAAATTAATATTTCACCATCAGGGCACGCAGGCACCCGCCGAACATTGTACACTTAGCGCATCGAGCATTGTTTATCATAACAAAAGAAAGAGAATCGCTCGGAAACGCGAAAGTTTCGGCGTCGATTTCCGCGCTGCAAACACCGCGATGATCTCGCATCGAACTTTAATCCCTTTAATTCCGAACAATTCTACCAAACTACATTTTGTTGTAATTGTCTTGTGTTGTATTTGGATTGTGTTTTATTTCATATGCTTTTAATTAGTTTTCGTTCGGTTTATTTTCGATTTATTTCATGCACTAGAATATTACAGCTGTTTCCATGACGACCGCCAGACCAAAGTAGATGAGGACAACCGAATTCTTTAGCGATTTTATAGTTTCAGCGATTTATAGCGATTGATTCAGATCGATTTCTAGGACGTGTTGTTACATAAATTTAAGTATTCTATATTTTTTGGTTTCCTTGATTTGTTGATTATTAGTTGTAAACAGAACATAGCGATTGGAGTAGATTGCTGGAGGCTAGTATTTTGCAGGTTTATAACGATGTTCCCTCAGGAAATCATAGCGGTGGACCTGCGCACGTTGCGCGCCATTCGAGTGCTAAGACCTCTCAAGCTAGTCTCTGGCATTCCTAGTAAGTAGATGATTAAACAAAACAATACCTATTTATTCCCCCCGCCTAACCTTATTGTTTTAATTAATTTCGTTTTTATTTACATTTATCCTTAATAAAAAAAAGCAACTTTTATTATTGTCGTCCACGGCGATTGCTGCGATTTACTTAATTTTCAAAACATTTATCAAACGTGAAATACGAATATTTAAGTATCACCTGAGGTAATATTTTAATTAACTTAAAATAAACAGAAAAAATCTGATTGCTTTCACCTGAGAGGAGATTTATGCTCTATTCTAATCAAAATAAATACACTCCTTGGATACATCTCTAAACGAACGAAAAATACAACGAAATGCTCTTCATAATGATTTCGAATCTAAAAAGAAAAAAAGAAACACAATTCTTTATTAAATACGTACTTTAGTGAGTAAAGTAAACTTAGTTGAGAAACGAGTCGATGATAATGAGATGATTACGTTTTTTGGTATCAAACTAGTTGCACAACAAACCCTGTTCTTATTGATTTTCTAGTAACGTAACGTTTTGATGCGATGACGATTGTACAATTGTAGTGTTGTTACATATTAATTACAGTAATATATATATATCTTTAGAGATTATTTGCAGAGTGTTTAACCACATATTTTACCTACCATCGGGTTAAAGTTAAAGCATGACTTAAATCTCCACTTAAATAGCAAATTATTTAAAAAAAAAATCATAAAATTCACAATGAGCATTGTTGCGGGCACAAAAGCAGCGCCGAATTGTCTTTATTCGTAATCTATCTTTAATCTATCGATTAATTAATGAGGCGCAAACGCTTTGTGCGTCATTTCATTGTTTTCCGTTGTTGATCGCCGCGCATTGCTCAAAATTAATTCGATTGGTGAATCAGATCAGATTTTTTTGAAGTTCGAGTCGAAAAGTAAGCAAAATTTCTAGATAACAAAAAAAACATATAGACATACAATCGAATTTGTATAAAGTAGTATCGAGTTTCTCTATAATTAATTAATTAGTGATACATAAAATTAGTACGCTTCGTAATTGAGACGCTTTATTGATTACAATTAGATGTATTCAGAAGTCTGTGTTTCACACTTTTCGTGTGCGTGTGTGTGTGTGTTTGTATAATATTTACATTACAACGATAACACCCGACCAATTTCAGTTCTCCCAACTTTTAGTCTTTTATCGTATTGTTGAATTTACACCAAATGAAACTACTGTAAAAATACAAAACTCACTGGTTTTTATTTTGTATTGGTTGGTTTCTTAGATGGAAATTTAGTTTTTGAGTAAACCCGGTGTGTTCATAGCTTCCTAGCATTTATTACATTGATGTGAAGCTATGAATGCATTGAAACCGATTGATTTGAATGTAGTTAACGTGTGTGATGTGAAATTTTAGGCCTCCAAGTCGTGTTGAAGTCCATCATCAAAGCTATGGCTCCTTGCTGCAGATCGGTTTGTTAGTATTGTTTGCCATCGTTATATTCGCGATCATTGGTTTAGAATTCTACTCGGGAGCGCTACACAGAACCTGTTATAGTCTCTATGATATAGGTGAGCAAATAATCGAGTTTAGCGGTTTTTTTCTGGATTGTATTTGCGTGATTTTCTTAATAGTCTTGATTCTTGAACATCATTGCAATATGATTCATTGAATCGCACGGTATTGTGCGGAAGATAAGCAATCCGGCAAAAAGCACCATAAATCTCAACGGCTAACCGGGCCGAGCGGTGTGCGCAAAGACGCTCGTATAGCCGCCTCCGCCGCCGCCTGCGTTGCCTCGGTCCTAGTCCAAGTCGCGCAGAGCATCGAACCGTGAACGCGAAGGCGCGCATGTGTCGCACACACCTTGCCGCTCCTCACCCTTCGTGTGCCATGATAGCAACTCCTCAACAAGCTCAAACACACTCCATCTAGGCAACCCAGGCAGCGGCGGCGGGACTTCTTATCGCGGCGATTATACTTGATTTAATTTTATTTATTCTCGCCGCCGAGCAGATGAAATTATTAAGGAGGGCGACGCAGCGGCACCTGCAACACCGATAATCAATCGCAGGCGGAGCTGCAGGGGAGCAATTGGTGTCGCGACGGCAACTCGGTGTGTCTGGAGCGGTGGCAGGGTCCGAACAATGGCATCACCTCCTTTGACAACATCGGTTTCGCCATGCTCACCGTGTTCCAGTGTATCACCATGGAGGGATGGACTTCGATACTGTATTGGGTACGCCAAACCCGAATTGCTTCCTCGACCTTTTCAGAAATTAAACATAAATTTCCTCAACACAATCCGCTCTTGATTAAAAGAACTACAAGTGTCTGAAACATAGGCAACCAACATTACATTTCACTATTTTTTCAACAACTGTATTTCTTTTAACCTAGAAGATGATGTGATATTCTTGATGATTGAAAACTCGACGCGAGCAATCATTCCGTGCATGAATCATCCACTCATCCTCTCCAAATAAAGCAGCCGCCTTTGTTATCCTCGTTATATTCGACGGTGGCCGCTTTTGTGCAAACACATTCCGCTGAAAATGAAATCTTGCTCACGTTCCGCTCCGCTCCGTCTGTCCGCAGATGAACGATGCAGTCGGCAGCTACTTCAATTGGATGTACTTCGTGCCGCTGATTGTGCTCGGCTCGTTCTTCATGCTCAATCTGGTGCTCGGTGTGCTTAGCGGGTATGTTATCGCTGGCGATCTCGCCAAGCGCACGTAATTTTTTCCAGCGCCACACTTCACCACCTTCGACTTTTGTTCATGTCCCTAACTGGCGTCACGAACAGAAAAGCAAGCCACACTCGTTATTTTTTGTTCTAAACTTTAAATACACCACCAAGTTTTTGGTTTATTATAGCGAATTTTCTAATGAACGCCTGCGCGTTGAGCGGCGTGCTCAATTCCACAAGGTGCGCTCGAAACTGCAGTTTCAGCAGGCTCTTGAACGCTATCTGGAGTGGATAACACGCGCAGGTGAAAATCACCGAAGCCTCAATGCGAAAATTATGCTAAACTTGCTTTAATTTAGTCACAAAATTATTTATCGATACTTAAAACACATGCTAGATATATTTATACCTAGTTATTTAGTTTTGGTTAAGCTAAAAGTAATTTGGTGTATGCTATTCTGCTTTCTCCCAAAATTAGAGAGTTTGCCAAGGAAAGAGAAAAAGTAGAAAACAGGCAAGAGTTTTTAAAGCTACGTCGAGCTGCCCAGTTAGAAAGAGAGCTAAATGGCTATGTGCAATGGATTTGCAAAGCTGGTGAGTCATAACCTCAATTATAAGCTTACAAAGTGTGAATGTTCAATACACATTCTAAAATAAAATCGTTTTTCAGAGGAAGTAATATTAGCTGAAGAACGGACGACAGAAGAAGAAAAAATGCACATAATGGAAGCGCGTCGACGCGCGGCGAAGAAAAAGAAGCTGAAAAAGATGGGCAAGAGTAAAAGCACGGATACCGAGGAGGAGGAGCAGGAGGAAGAGCTGGGCGACGATGGTACGATCATTTTATTGACTCCATCTCACTTTCGTCACTTTTCTTACTTTCATTTTTCACTCCACCTTCGAATTCGAGTCGAAATTCAACCACAATGTTAGCCAAAAATTCATATCGAACGCCATTTGTTTACCGATTAACCTCCTTTTTTGTCTGCACTATTTTATCACGTGACCACCATCTTTGTCATTTGCAATCACTTTGGTTATCTTATCCCCCAAAACTAAAAAATAATAATAGAAAGAGAAAAATGTGTTGCAAAGATCTAGATTTCCGAAGATTTCGGTTTTCGATTGTTATTCGTTTGTTTTTGTTTTCAATGTGCACTAAACTGATGTCATGTTTTAATCCACAGTATTTCTTACAGAGTCTAAGAAAAAACTAAAAGGTATGCGGAACTGGTGGACACTACATTATTATGTAAAAATACTTAGAACTTGTTTAGTATGATTAATATTAACTTATTATTAACGTAATGAGAGTCTCTGTAGCGCCTACTGCGGACAACTTTTCATTATCCTAGTTTTGATTATTACCTACTACTATTACTAACTCTTAGTTGTTCACTCAACTCAACTATTTTTGTTTTTATTTCTTTCGTTTTATTCGAGGAGCGAATCACGTCAGATACGAACTAGTTTAGTTGATATATAAACTGCACTGATTAGTTGTTTAGCAAATGATACAATTAGCGACGGCGGCCATCTTGTGGCGCCGACTCCTTAGCTGCTTGATGTATGATTTGATCATTTTTGTGTTGCCTGAATTTTGTCGGTTCGCTCCTCACACTTACGTTGATTATGTGATTAGAGATTGAGTTACTTACTTACCGCCCCTGTACCAGGGGGCGTGTCGTACGCTTCTGGCTGAAACCACTCTCTCTCTATTGTCATTGGCGAGTAGTTGGATCACGTTGAGCGTAAGACTTTGAACTTGACATTTTATAACTACTAACAACTAGCAGTAAGACGTAAAACGTAGTAGAAACTATTAGTAAGGCGGCGGCCATTTTGGATCTATTACTAATATTAACCATTACTAATATTATCGTTTCTCTAGAGTCTATTAGCCACACGTTGTTGTTTTTCATAGATCGTACCGTTTTTGGGTTTGATTTTTGGTTGCCGTAGAGTTGGGACACTTCTGTCGAACGTAATTTTTGTAAATTGTAAACTAACTGTATACACTAGTCATTTTTGCGATAGCTGAACATAGATCTAACCTATCATAGCAACTAGGAGACGTTTGCGATGTAGTTTGCGTAGGACCAGTAGGGTGGGTTTGGTTTAGATTCGAAGTTGAACCATTCGAACACACACTCACACTGATTATGATCGAATTATTGTGCAAAATTTGTGCGCGCCGAACGCAATTGTTTGCAATGTGACTGGTTGGCACCATGCGCGCAAGTTGCTGTCATGGTGTCGATGTAAATGTCTCCTTTTCTCTCTGTGTGTGTTTATTTCGGAATGCTGGACACACACTGACTGACTTGACGCCTAGGTCGCGACGCGACTCGCTGGCGACGCATGCTTAAAGTGGCGTACTTTGTTAGCAGGTTTTGGGCGCGCCGGCTACATGAAGACCCGGGCACAGGGCCCGGGCGGGTGCGCCTCCTTCTGGCGCGCCGAGAAGCGCTTCCGGTTCGCCATCAGGCACGCCGTCAAGACGCAGTGTTTCTATTGGTTCGTCATCGTGCTCGTCTTCTTCAACACTGTCTGCGTTGCGGCGGAATTTCACGGCCAGCCAAATTGGCTTACAGATTTTCTTTGTAAGTACCTGCTACCATCAAATAAAAACCACAATTCTAATTCTTATAATGATAAATTTTAGATTATGCTGAATACGCATTTCTGGGTCTATTCATGCTGGAGATGGTGGTGAAGATGTACGCACTGGGACCTCGGATCTACTTCGAGTCGGCGTTCAACCGTTTCGACTGCGTGGTCATCTCAGGATCCATCTTTGAGGTGGTATGGTCGGAGGTGAAGGGCGGCTCGTTCGGCCTGTCCGTGCTGAGAGCTCTAAGACTGCTGCGCATCTTCAAAGTGACCAAATACTGGTCGTCACTGCGAAATCTCGTCATCTCGCTGCTGAACTCCATGCGCTCCATCATCTCACTGCTGTTCCTGCTCTTCTTGTTCATTCTCATATTTGCGCTGCTCGGCATGCAGCTCTTCGGCGGGCAGTTCAACTTTGACGAGGGCACGCCACCCACCAACTTCAACACGTTTCCCATCGCTCTACTCACCGTCTTTCAAGTGAGTCTTATCAAAATTATTCAGCGTAATAACTTTGAATCCAAATTTGATTGCTTGTAGATCTTAACCGGTGAGGATTGGAACGAGGTGATGTACTATGGCATTGACGCGCTGGGCGGTCACAAATCCGGCATGATCTACTCGTTATACTTCATCATTCTCATGCTGTTTGGCAACTACACTTTGCTCAATGTGTTCTTGGCTATCGCCGTCGATAATTTAGCCAACGCCCAGGAACTCACAGCTGCCGAAGAGGAACAGGCTGAGGAGAACAAAGAGAAGCAAGCACTGGAGCTGGAGAAGGAGATGGAGGCGTTGCAAATGGAAGGTAATACAATTCACTTCATTCATAACATCATTTTACTACAAAATGCAAAATTCTAGGTGCGCCTCGATTAGATGGCAGCTCTTCACCAACAAGCCGCCGAAAGAAAAAGATGAAAAACCCGAAGAGGAAGAAGAAATTGTCGGACCCAAACCTATGCTGCCATATTCTAGCATGTTCATACTATCACCCACAAATCCGTAAGATAAACTATAGTTACCGAAATAATATTATGGTCAACAATATTGTCAAATTCGAAATGTTCTTTCTGTTGCAGTGTAAGAAAAGGGGCACATTGGGTAGTTAATTTAAAGTACTTCGATTTTTTTATCATGATAGTGATAAGTCTGAGTTCGATAGCGTTAGCGTGCGAGGATCCCGTTGTGGAAGACTCGCCGACAAATCAAGCTCTAGATGTTTTGGATTTGGGGTTTACCGCCGTGTTTGCGACCGAACTGCTTCTCAAGATCATCGATCTGGGAATCATTTTGCATCCGGGCGCGTATCTGCGCGAGTTCTGGAATCTGATTGACGCGATAGTCGTCGTCTGCGCGCTCATTTCGATGGGATTCGATTTCTTGTACGTCCTAACCTCAAATCATAACCCAATTCAAAAACTAACCAAAGTTGTATTGTTTTACAGGGGCACATCTACGAGTCTGTCGACGATCAAATCCCTAAGAGTGCTCCGAGTGCTGAGACCTTTAAAAACAATTAAACGAGTGCCCAAATTAAAAGCAGTGTTTGACTGTTTAGTGAACTCATTAAAAAATGTGATAAACATTCTGATAGTGTACATATTATTCCAGTTTATATTCGCTGTAATCGCCGTTCAATTGTTTAACGGAAAGTTTTTTCACTGCACTGATTCTAGTAAATTTACGGAATCGACATGTCAGTGAGTATCTGCGCCATTTTATAAAGTTTTATGTTTCAGAAAACTAAAAATTGTATTGTATTTTAGGGGGACGTACTTTTTATATGAGGAAGACTCTGATGTGCCCCGCATAGAAGCTAGAGAATGGAAACTGCAGAGTTTCCATTATGATGACGTGGCCATGGCTATGTTAACACTATTTGCTGTGCAAACTGGTGAAGGATGGCCACAGTAAGTATTTTATTTGTACTAAAAGTGACAAACTGAAAAATTAATGCGAAATGTCTTCAGGGTTTTACAAAATTCAATGGCTGCCACATATGAGGATCAAGGCCCAATACAAAATTTTCGTATTGAAATGTCCATTTTCTACATCGTGTATTTCATAGTGTTTCCATTCTTCTTTGTAAATATATTCGTTGCCTTGATTATCATCACATTTCAAGAACAGGGTGAAGCCGAACTGCAAAGCGGTGAGATTGATAAAAATCAGGTGCGTACCAATCACATAACCTCAACTAACGTCTATCTAATGCGTAAATTTTTAGAAATCCTGTATTGACTTCACGATACAAGCCCGTCCGCTAGAAAGGTATATGCCTAACAAGCGGAACAGCTTCAAATACAAGATCTGGCGTGTCGTCGTCTCAACGCCCTTCGAGTACTTCATCATGATGCTCATTGTGTTCAACACGCTGCTGCTGATGATGAAGGTATGTTGCTCGTTCACTGCTTACTTACATGTTGCAATATATTTCAATAATGACGCATCGTAAATCGTAAGAATTTGAAAAAAGTCGGCAGCCTGATCAACGCACGTCGGATTCGAAATTTACTAAATTTAAAAATAACTCGAACTCAAACTGGATCAATCAAAAGAACACGGTTAGCACAAACTCCGGCGCCATTGTGAAGGAGGCACACTAACAACACCTTAAAACAATTGCTTTTCAGCAACAGAACAAAAACTAAATTTTTATAAACATCAACTATTCAATCAAAAACTTGAACAATTTATGTTTTAATTAGTAAATCTTAGAATAGCGATAAAAACATGATGAATAGTTGATGTTTTAGTAAGATTTGTGCAATGAGGAGCGCAAATCGATTCAATGTTATATATATATATGATCTAACACCACCAACGGAATGCCCAACTATAAATATTATGCAATTACAAAACGCACCTTGTTGATGAATCATACATTCTCGGAACAGCATCTTGCCGTCAGTGTTAACGTTGATGTGTGTCGTTCGTTTCCTTTATTTTTCATGCGAGATTGTCGTTTGAGCGATCTTGAGCAAGGTGTGTGCGTGAGGCAACCCAACAAACATCAATACTCCTCCGTATAGACAATCTTAGCTTCGACCAATCACTAACCACGTCTTATTACTTACTAATAACTAACAAATCCTATCGGTGTGAATGTATACGTGTTTAGATACAACTTGATCAAGAGTTTGGGCGAGAATGAGAGTGTCCTGCGAATGCGTCATCAAATCATCGGCATGTTGCGCGCTTTCTTAACCAAAACAAGCAGCTTTACACACATAACCTCAATATTTGACTATTTTCATGTTTGTCAGGATATATGTGATGTAATTTGGTTGATTTGGTCATAGGCGTGTGTCTCATAGTCGAATCACACTTTGATTGATGATGCCATTATAAACAAATTGATTGAGATGAAGTTTCTGCTCTCCGGCAATGACCGACCAGGATGTGTAATTACGTGCAAAGCATGCGTCTTAACTTATAAATGTGTATGTTGTTGATATTCTAACGTAACTTAATTTGGCGGTGGGACAGTGCACACGTTTCACGCAGTTTACCTGTTCGTGGCGTTAAGGGACTGATGAAAACAAAATGGCAACTGCAGAACTAACGGCTACCTGTGGCTGCGGTGCACACTCCTTTCCACCTCACAATCAATTCTATAAATTTCTCTCTCAGATACATAACAATGCCAACTCCTCATTAGAACGCTGCAAAATTTATCATCACTTAGCAGTGATGATGATTTTGGGAGTGTTTAGTGGCCATTTTGAATTCCTTGTTAATTTCCACTGAGAGAAACTGAGAATCGCAAAGCATACACAAACGAAATACCTGTATGTTAACAGCATGATGGGCAAACCGATACCTTCTCGAAATCGCTTAAGTACCTCAACTGGGGCTTTACGAGCATGTTCACGGTGGAGTGCATCCTCAAGATTCTTGCCTACGGCGTGCGGGTAAGAAATGAACATCTAGCGTTCTCGCCAGCGTTCAAAACATCCGGAATTTATTTTATTCTTTTATTTAAAAACCAATATTTTATTTCCAAATCACTTCAAAAATATTTACTTAAAACGTTTGTTCGATGTCAAAACTCAATGTTCATAATATCCCGACAGTCCTAACCTCACCCAACAACTACTCACAAATGGCTTTGGGCGTTTGTTGTCGCATGCATGCAAGCAACTTTTCTTGCGTAGAAAGTAGCGTGTAGTTCTGCAGGCAATTTTATGTATACGCATGCGCTGTGTGCCACTGCATGCTTTCAGCGATTCTTGGCAAGTGTCGCACTCTCTCTCGACTCACACGCACCAGAGAAAAGCAACACTCACCGATACACGACCACAAAAAAATTTAAAAAAAAACATTTACTCACGGCGACTTGGAGCGCGGAACGCGGGATATCTTCTACTCGTACAACCGACTGCCGACTTTTCAACCCACTGATTTACAAAAAAAAAACAAAGATTTGATTGATTTATTCAATTTGAGAGCAAAAAAAGCAAAAAGTGATGTGAAATGAAGGTAGGCAGACTGCTTGTAGTGCAGAGTAGCTACATATGTAAGTTGTTTGTAGTACCACGATTCTCCACCCGTGCTCTCCGACACCCTGGCGGCAATGAATATTCTGTTTACTTTCCTCTTCCTTTGTGAAACCGTACTCAAGCTCATCGCTTTTGGAATCAAGGTAACGTCACCAAATCTTACGTATTACTAATAATAATGCTACATATAATGTATTTCTGTATCAACTCTCAACAAGTACAAAACCAAAACACTTGTAATTCACCAGATCAAGCTCTATATTTTTGGGTTTGCAAGCACACCACTTCGTGAAAATCGTCTGGAACCACTTTTGACATGTTGACCAAAACTCATTATCTACCGTAGATCAGTTTACATGTAGCACACTTAATTTTTATCCATCATAATTCATTTTGTAGATCAATATTTAAGTTGTTTTTTTATTCATAAATTTTCAGTAGAAATTTTTGCCAACTCATTATATTGTAATCGGCTGAACGTTTTCCAATCTATGACACTTGAAAACGAGGCCTTCGAAACGTAGATTTTAATTACGCTTACAGTCGTAGAATATCTCAAGATTGCATGTCAATAATATCCTTGTCAATTACCCTCCGAACAAAAAACTAAAATTGATTTTAAATTCAAACATTAATCTAACTTAAAAATATTAAATTAAATGTTTTATTCTATTGGAGTATAATATTTTTAAGTTAGGTACAAAGCAAACATTTTTATAATTTAAAATTTTGTAAATAAATATTATGTTTGTATACTGACAAGTTTTATTCCACAGAACTTCTTCAAAGATCCTTGGAATACCTTCGATTTGATCACGGTGGTTGGCAGTATTATCGACGCGGTGGTCGTTGAATTTGGTGTAAGTAAAACAAAAATTACTTAAATTTTCTTTATTCAAAGTAAAATTGAGCAAATGAAAATCTCAATTTTATTTTGCCTGTTTGACTGTCGATGATGTCGATGAATTTTTCTGTAAATAAAGGAAAGGGCAGCGGCGAAAGTGTCAAAAGAGTCAGCGCAGAGGGTATGTTTGTCCTGCAAACCAATCTAAAACCATATATATATGCCCGAAAACGTCATGTGTCTTTTTAGCCAGTTTTCTCTGCAGACAGTGCGTAGATGCGTAGCCAATGTGATATTCTTAATATAGTAAACTTTCATCCATCCAAAGTATAAAAAATAAACGAATTTATACTCAAACTTAACCTCAGAACGCAAATAAATTCGTTATTTTTGTGGCTAGCTGCTTTGGATTCAAAGTTTACGGTGTTCTTCTAAATCTCCTCTAGTTTTTAGTGTCAACAGAATTACTAATTTAACCTTTTGGATACTCAAAAACAACAAAAACACACTTTACAGGTTCAAAAATCAATCTTACACTTGACTTAAACACAGAATGGAAACTGAAGCAGACCGTACTAGTTAACCTCTTCTAGCAGCCATTTTGTGCACGACAAATGCCATGACAATATGAATTGAGGTTATGTGATTGATCTAACCCACTTTCTTCCAAAGTATCCACAAGGTTGGGTTTAAATTAGGCCAGACCAATGTGCAATCTTTTGAATCTGTTATCATGAGAGCATTTTCCAACTTTCAGTTGAACGTAGTGAGTGTGTGTGTGTGTGTTTAATCATACCGTACTGAATCGAATACTAATTAGTAACTAGTGCTAGTGTGCAGTGTGCGGCGCTCCGATGTTTAGCTGAATTGTGCATTTGAACTTTAAATATTACTAATAAAATACCTCGTTGGAGTTGATGGGTAGTGTCTGACGTGGATGAGTGCATGTATCAAGATGGCGGTTTGCTTTTCTAGGACAATTTCATCAACGTCGGCTTTCTGCGGTTGTTCCGCGCGGCGCGTCTTATCAAACTCCTGCGGCAGGGCTACACGATTCGCATCCTGCTCTGGACGTTCGTGCAAAGCTTCAAGGCTCTTCCATACGTCTGTCTTCTAATAGCGATGCTGTTTTTCATTTATGCTATTATTGGCATGCAAGTACGTCAATAATCACAAAATTATTAACATTTTTAATTTACTAATATTGTGTTATTATTATTTTATCAGGTATTTGGAAACATTGCTGAGAATCCAGCAGAGTCTATCAATCGACACAACAATTTCCGAAATTTTATACAAGGCCTTATGTTATTGTTTAGGTATGTAAAAGTAGATTTAATATCAAAACACTTTTTAAAATTTCACTTTTATGTTCATAGATGTGCAACGGGCGAATCCTGGCCGAGTATTATGTTGTCCTGCATAAAAGGACGACAATGCGATGAGAAATCCGATAAGGAGGACCCGCTTAGTTGTGGGTCAAACCTGGCATACGCCTACTTTGTATCATTTATCTTCTTTTGTTCATTTCTTGTAAGTATTCCACAAAAACAATAATTATACAGATCGAGATTTCACCAAATTTATACTTTTAGATGTTGAATCTGTTCGTTGCTGTCATCATGGACAACTTTGACTATTTAACAAGAGACTCGTCTATTTTGGGCGCCCATCATTTAGACGAGTATGTAAGAATATGGGCTGAATACGATCCAAACGCTACGTAAGTGAATCACTTAAATGTTAGTGGTTATGTTCATGTATAACTGGTTGCAGAGGTAAAGTCCTGTATCAAGAAATGTACGACATGTTGAAAAACATGGACCCGCCGCTGGGATTCGGTAACAAGTGTCCCAATCGGTTGGCGTACAAAAAACTTATAAGAATGAACATGCCGGTGGATGCAGAAGGCCGGGTGAATTTTACAACCACACTCTTTGCACTTATACGAGAGAATCTTGCCATTAAAATGAGACCAGGTAAATTGGAATTAGAAAAATGAATTTCTTGATTAAAATGGATGATATTAAATGTTCGACAGCTGATGAAATGGACGTGGCCGATGAAGAACTCCGTGAAACAATAAAAATAATCTGGCCAATACAAGCGAAAAACATGGTGGACTTACTAGTGCCTCCACCGGACCAGCTCAACACTGGTAAGATGACAGTGGGAAAGATCTACGCCAGTTATTTGATATTAGAGAGCTGGAGGACGACCAAATTCGGCCAGCTGGAGTCAGCCGGAGGCAATCAGGTAAACCACACGAGTATCCTCACGAGCTCACGAAGCCATTTTGAGATTTACTAACATTTACTAACATCAACACTAATCTAGGAACAGACTAATCGGGAATTTACGAATAATAATTGGCATTCTATAGACAAGAACACAAAACAATCAGAAACTGTATCAGGTTTTAAAGATCAGAGCTGCCCCTCTTTTAGACAAGTAAACAAATCAAATTCACAAAATAATCAAAAACAAAAAGAAGTGTATAGTCGGTGTTAATTGTACCTACTTCTCTATTATAATTGATAATCGTGTAGAGGACTACGTTGTAGTTGATATACCTACGTATTCGGAACTTTTATTTGTACCTCCCTTTGAAATATGTCTGATCGTAGAAAGACACAACTCAGGTTGTGACATTTTCAATGTTTGCCATCACGTGCATGACAGAATCATACTTTAATAGGCAACCCAACATACATTTCAATTTAAAGCTTACTTTAGTTTCTAAACGTGCACATGATGGCAATGGTTAATCTTATCAACTGGACATATTGTATTTCTCGCAGTAGCGATCAATGTTAAGCCTTCCGTTTGCGTTGGACTTTGTTCAATGTGCAACGTGCACGTGTGTCGATCTCCCCCCAACACTGAGATTAGCTAGAGCCCCCCATCTCTCTGTTTCTATCTCTTGTCGCCCAGCTACAGTTTTTACTAGAACCTTCACCAAAATATTCAAACGAAAAAAAAGTACCACCCGCCCCGAACAATGAATCAACTATCTTTATATCTATTTCAGGGTTTTGGAAATAGCCCCTCAGCCAATCACGCGGTAGTATATTTGTTATTTTCTTCCTTATTCTAAGAACAGCATTTGTTCATATTTTCATTCTCCACATTTGACACGCTCCTCGTATTTTTAGCAAGCGTAAACATTTTTTTACGATGATCTCATTCATAGTACGGTCCTGTAGCGAGGTGCCGTTTTTGTGTCTTGCTCCTTGTTCTCGTTCTCTCTGTACATACGTGCTCCGTTCGATGATTTTGCACCCACTTTTTTAGATGAGCATCGATGTCCTTTTTAAATGTGTACATATCTAATATTGAATGCCCTTAACTTCTACCAATTGTTTGTGTCTTGTCTTTCGATTTTAATCTTTGATCTTGTAGTAATATGGCGATGACTAATGGATATTTGCATGCGTTGATTGATTAGTGACCATGACCAATAGTGTACATAACCTCCTATTACTATTATGATCCTTCTTTTACGAAGCAGAACGCAGTTAGCACTTGAATTCAACTATTTTCGATTTTTAACTGTAAATACACTTAAAACTCGACCATGACTGCTCTGCTCGATTTTGCATGCTTTTTTCGAATACTCTGCGATCGTGTGCAATGCTCTGTATATACCTGTACATACAATTTTGACAATTTTGCTAACCAGAGAGTATTTACTGATATTTTGGGCACAACTCTTTAAAACTTAAACTTGATTATTATTGATGATTGATTATTACGAGTAGTACGATATATAATGTAATTATGCTAGACTTAATTCGGAGAATTGATGCAACGCGCAGGCGCGGTAGCGCACGCCGGCCCTGTTGGTGTACTATGTGTGTGTGTTTTGTGACATGCCCAGCCGAAGCGGATAGGTCGCAGATCGTGCGTTATGTTGATACTTTGGTTTTTGGCGTATAGGCGAGTCTGTTAGCGCAGTTGTTGTGTGTTAGCCGCGCGCGCAGACGCGCTGCGTGTTTGTAAGCTAAAGTTGTGTTGGATATGGCAGAAGGCGTCGTTTTTTGACTGTCTGCTGGACATGGCCGGCCAGCTGGGCAGTCGCGCCGGCTCGATTAGTCTCGAAGGCGCACCGCTCATGGGCGGGCAGGAACAACCCGAGCAGGCGGCCGCTGCCGCACCTGTACCCACCCACGCCCACACGCTGCATCCCCTAGGGCCGGGTCATCATCCGGACGACACCAAATCTCTAGCTACGCTTGCTAGACGCAACACCAAACGACGCTCCTTAAGGTAAACATCTACATCACATTCATTTACATAAATTAACAATAAACTTTCTTTATTTGCAGGAACAAAAAGGTGAAAAATAACGACTTGACGGTAACCAAAACAAAATCGATGTGTGTTAGGGCAGAACTTTAGGTTTAGGTCCAGACGGTGATATAATAATTGTTGAATGTCTATCAGATTTTTACAGATCCACTGCTATAAATACTCGTGCATAATCTTTGCTCTAAAAAATGATGACATAGAAACAGTTTAAACTTTAGTCAGGTATAGAAGGTACCAATTAGGGTCGAGACGAGATCAGTCTAGGATCTGCATGTCGATCATCAACTTCTAATCAATCTTTCTAACACTAGCGCTTAAAAATTGTAGGCTAGGATCTTCGTCTTGTATTGAAATCTTTAGATTAATTCAATTTTGCAACTTTCGCAACTTAATAAGTAAATTAACAGTATTTGTGTGTTTTAATAATCTAGTTAAATTAATCTAGTGCACTTTGTGATCGTGTGTATAAAGTATTCAGAGAATTAATTTGCACCAATTTTAAGACATCAAGATCAGCATGTATCTGATTTTTGCATGAATTCTATGTGTATCTAATTGTTACGGGACTTGGTATGAATGGGACTGTTTTAAGTACTTAACGAAATTTGCGTAATTTCTTCGGAAGTTTAAACTAATACAAAGGAAAACATCAATGACCAGTAGTTTGATCAGTAGCGCTGGTAGTCTGTAGTCTGTGACTGATTTTACCAACATGTCCGAAGCAGGTGATGGAACTACAGGATGTTCTTAGCTCACGCCGTCCATCGATGGAGAGCATAGGCGATCAGCAACATTTACATCCGGCGGGTAACTACCCGAACACGCATCGAAGATCACCGAGTTTAAGGTAATGTATAAACACGTGGTACTACTGCGCACGCGTGATGGGCTGCGGTGCGAGGTTAGGTTTGTATCTTTTTGGTCATGCGTAGACGTGGGAACTCCCCGTCGATGCAGCGTAGTCCCTCGCCGGGACGTAGGTATCCATCACATCTGCACCACGATATTGGCTTCTCGGACACGGTGTCCAATGTGGTTGAAATTGTAAAGCACGAACATCAACGTTCGTCGCAGAGGCACCGGAAAGGAGGTAGTAAGGACTCATGACGTTCGCCAGTCTTTAGCAACGCTCTTGCTGATTGTGACTGTGTTATAGGTGAGTTTCTGGGATCATGGTCGGCGTCGACCAGTCCGGCGAGGTCACCCTCGCCGACCAACAACAGGCATCACTACAATGTGCGGCATGGAGGCGGCGGAGGAGGAGGTGGAAGCGGAGGCTACAGGGCGCCGCACCGGGGTGCCGCTTACGGTACTACCAGCCTTTGCCAGAGATCTAGATCCCCAAGTCCCACACATCCCGTGCCTCATCAACACGGTCCTCCTACAATCGGTATTAGCAGCATCGTTTCTTACACCAGAGGTATTCTAAATGCCACTTTGTGTGGGGATAATGTATTGTTGTAGCTTGCGCGGTTGTGGGACTTCCGGTGCATCATTCAGCGGCCATGCAGGGCAGCGTGCAACACAGCCATCCTGTACTTGGGTCTCGTAGAGGGCAAGGAAGGAGACTACCGCCAACTCCATGCAAACCTTCGACGTTACAATTACGACCAGGACCCATCAACTTTCCAAAGTTGAATGCATCGCCAACCCACGTAAATAATCCTCAAAAATTATAAAAAGAATCCTGTTAGGTAATACCTGGTCTGGGTTTAGTTTGATCTCTTGCAGATGCAATCACATTCGGCACATGCTACACCCCATGCATCACTCAACATGGCGCTGGTCAGAGAAAGAGAACCACCTCACGAAATGGTAGCACCACTTCGAGACGCGCCCGCGGCACCACTCAGCTTCGAGCAGGCGGTAGCACTGGGACGTGGTGGACGGATGCTGCCCAGTCCTGTGCCCAACGGCTACAAGCCGAAACCGTCGCGCTCGCGGCACTCTGACTCCGACGACGACGACTGGTGCTAACACTAGGGGACCTACTCAGTCACATGAGTACCCACCCACCAAACGGACGCGCGCGCGGTGTGATGACTTAACTCGCAAAAGGCCTTCAAGGAATTGATTATTGTGTTTTTAAAACGAACCGCAAATTCGTAAAAATTCGCTTGTGCATAACAACCCACCGACGAACCAAAAAAATCAGCGCAAAAAAATAATCCAAAACAAAGAAACAGAAAAATAAAACAGTAGCGGTGTCACGAACAATGTTCACATTCAGTGAGCGGTGAGTACTGTCCCCCGGCGAATGTTAAACAAACAACACTTAAGTATAGACTTACCGGAAACGCCATCTTCGACTTTATTCAACTTACATTTAAAACATATTAAAGAAATCATCATGCAAACACTCTAGTCTACTATTAAGAACGTTGTAACGAAGTTCCAGTTCGTTGAGTGGTTATTGAATATAATACACAACACACGTTTTCGTTCGAGCGTTAGTTGTCTGAACTAAAAACAGTGAGAAAAAGAACGTAGAGAACGTGTAAAGTGTAAATGCGCATAGGCATTTTTATACTTTTCTATGACTATAGCGCTTTGTTTGGAACATCCAGTATATTACGTTCACTGTATGCAGGCAAAAAAAAAACAAAAAAAAAACACTCACACACAACTTTAGTAACTCAACTGCCAGCGATCGAACAAAACAAATTCCATGATTAACTTGAAGAGAAAATACTAAAATGACAACAATTATTATTAAGTTTGAGTTGATCTGACGCCACACACTGAGAGAACAACACTTCGTATACCTTTGTACATACAAACAAACAAAGCATAAACAATGATAACTTGCAGTTAGATTTCAAATTTACTAACCAACGTGTGTATGAATGTCGTTTTTACACATTAACGTTATAATAACCAAAACTACAAAACAAAAATGATGAAAAAACGGTGCAAGGACGCAAATGGACAGGCGATGACGAGGAATATTATTGATAATTATATAATTCTTCCCTAAAGTGCTTTAAAATCACTAAATTTACGAATCCATAACGTGTATGTGTGTGTGTGCAAGTCGCAGACCGGAAACCCACACACGTCACAAAAACATAACAATAAAAGCAGCGTTCGCCGCTAGATATCTAACCTAACCTTAAATTTGCATTCAGCTGTACTTAACCTCACTGGACGCAGAGATCCGCAAGACGTGTTGAATTTGTCTGTTGAAACTTGTCAAACGTGAATATTATCTATAAAACATTGCGCATGTGAAACACTTGCAACTCTTTCCACCAGCTACAACACTACACTACAACCTAAGTTATACAGAGTGTTCCAAGAAACATAGTCTAAGTGTTGATAAATGTGCTGATTATTTCGTTGCTAGCATTTGGAACACCTTATACCTTATGGTTATTTCTGTGATATGTAAGATGAAACCGAGCAGGAAAATCTAGTGACACACACACCAACACATGCATTCGACTAGATAGTTTGAGTTGATTGGTTTTAGTAATTCACTCATAACACAGAAAGTAACAAGACATTCTCATCGTGGTGTTGTCATAATTTAGGCAATATATTCAATCAATTTACAGCGTTTGATTGTTTGCTAGAATTTTCTACCGAATCCGAGCATGAAATAGCGTGAACCTTGTGTATTTATACCGGAACGAAGTGTTTAGACAACCTAATTTCATTGTATAGTTGTATTTTTAACAAAAGAGATGCCTTATATATAAAAATGAAGTTAACAAGTAAACCAAGTGGGGAAAACAAGACGTAATACAGAAATTTGCGCGCGTAGAGTCGGCGCGGGATGACGAATGAAAACTCGGTGTGAAAAGTTGTAAACATTTGAAAAATTGTACAGGAGTGCACTCACGTTTCCGATATTCACACAATCTTAGCGTGTATTTCGGTCTTATTAAACCTTGAATTTAGCTGATATGAGACAACATTAACGTTAAAACTAACCTAAAAATGAAGCGATACTTACGCGTGCGCAAGCGCATAACATTTTTTATATTAACAAGAAACTAGCGCGAGAAGGTCGCGATCCTGTTCCCATTCGTGTCGTGGAGAATAATAAACATAAAAACACACTAGGATTAATATAAAACAAAAAAAAAACTATGCAAGTAATTTAAACTAAAATGAGAAAACCCAGTGAGAATCGAAGAATATTATATATACAAAAGAAAAAAACAACCACACATATGCTTATAACGTTGATCAAGATGGCGGGACGTTCAATCGGCGTCGTGTATTCTTTGGCTGTAAATATTATAAATATGATCATAGGCTAGTCTAGGTGTAATCGTGTTCCATATGCACACAAGAATCTTACATTGAAATTCAAGTTCACTTTGATTTCGTGCGCTGGCGCCCTCTGTGTGTTGATAATCTATAATCTACGAGATATATTGTATGTTGAATTTGTTGATTCTTGTTGAATTGTTTCGCGATCTTTCCGATTTATTTGTTCATATTGTAAATGTGATCACGAATTCATTCAAAGCGCGATGCAAAATGGCGCATTGGCGTACCACCATTTTGTGTACATCCGGATGCATATCACACACACACACACCACACTCACACATAAGCGCGCGCGTTGAAGCATTCGATAATTACGAGATAAGATAGCTAATTATTCGCATTTTCGAGCCACACCATCATCAGGAATATTCGCCCACGACGATGACACGTAACACTTTCACCCGCCCCCACCCACACACATTAACTAACTAAGGATAACGAGTTTACAATTTAAACGTAAATTTTAAACGTGAATAAATACTACTATCTCTGCCAATTTCATCAAAGTGTAAACAAAAATGATTACGGGTTGCATTCGTGCCTAATTTCGTTTTGTCGCGGACACATCGTTGATTATGATAATATATATCGTTGATTTTGTTGTCAAAGTTTAAGAATGCCAGGTGTTATCGGTTCCGCTCCTTTTTGCCATACTGGTCGGGTCACACACTCAACCCAACACCCTGTATATATCCAATAAATTTGCACATATTGAAAGCAATATTATTAGAATGGCAATTATTCGTTGGTTTCTCGTTGAAATTAATACTTAGCTTTGACCCGACGGCGTTATTACTATCCCAGATAAAATCGTGTGTATGTTGTATATCGTGTCTGCTTGTGCATAACCTCGATAAACATGCGCGAACAAAATGGCCGCCGCGATACGAATCGTTTTTTCCCAATGATGTTGTGTTCCCTAGTCGTAGCCGCTCTTTCAACTAAATACATTTACTTATAAAATCAGTCGAACGCCGAACGCAGCGCCGGAAACCGGAAGCACTCGACATGGCGAGACATAAATGACTTTTACATTTGCAAATAAAACTAAATAGTAACTACATTGATGATGATTCAAAACAACACACATTCGTACTTGTATTATTAACTTATGTCGTAAGCAAACTTACACTTAATTACATATTACATAATATACCTTATCGTATAAGTACATATAAATATAAAATACGAGTTCAAAGTCCAAATTTTATAAAATTCAGCATCTGTACATATATTTTAAATCTAGATATGAGAAATAATAGTAAATAAAACCATGAGGTGATGTTGGCGGCGAGTGGAACGGTCGACCGGAAACAATATGGCGGAGGATGCCATCCACATTTCAAAAATGATGCTGGGTTATGTTTTTCGTGCACGAATTGCGATGGATTCAAACACTGCGGGCAAACAAAACAAACAAAACCAGAGAGAAAACTATAAGAAAGTATTATTATCATGTTACATACATAAATTATAAGCGCATAATAATTTATCTAAATATAGTTGTTAAGACTTGAACAGCAACATTTTTGAAGTTGGTTCGTGGAGACGAGGCGACACACGATGGTCGAAATGCGACCGCTGCGAGATATTGAAATAATATATATTGAAATATATTGATCTATTGTGAGCATGATGTGTAAAATGCAAAGCGACACGTAAAAACGACAAAAAAAAAATCACAAAAAATTGAAAATGAGAAACCAAAAATTACAGAACTTATAAACATTTAAGAGAATGAATAAGATTTATATATAAATATATTATAATTATATGACATAAAAATCTTTTTCGTAATTATGTTATGTATTGAATATTTATGTAATTTATTATTAATATCTAATGATATCAGTTAGACTATTTGCATTAGTGTTATAACTAAACAAACAAAAAACAACAAACAAAAATATTATCATCGCTTTAAAGCCCATTTTTTAATGAAAATCGTAAATAAATTATGATAATATATGAAAACACAAGATGCGCACAAGAAGCAAATCCTAAATTCGCACGATTTTTCATTTCTCGACATTTTTCATTCCTATTTTCCATTTTACTTCAGTCAAAATTACTGAAAACCGCAATTTCCAGCCTATATGCCACTGTTTATTTATTGTTTCGCGTGTTTTTGGTAATTAGGACCGTTTATTGACCGAATTATTATTACTTTAACAAATCACATTTTCCTTGGTTTCTAAACAAATTCGATCTTGGTAGCGACATCTACCGCATCAACTTCGAACCAAGCGCCTACAAGCTAGACAATTAGCGAACGTCAAACAAATTCGTTACAAGAGTCGTTGAGTTGTTACGCTTTTACGCGGTGATTGCCAGAATTTCCACCGATTCCGGCACAAGCTACAGACGAAACATATTTAGTGTTTAAAAAGCTCGTTTCAACCTGACTAGAATATAATAGAAAAACGAATACGCGCACGTTTGTGACAACTGTTCACTATATGTGACTAATTGCACAAACACAGTGCGTAACCTCTTCATCAAAACTAACAACGAGTCAAGTGTAACGAAAAACGGCGATTCGTAGTTTATCGCGTCATGAATCAGAACGATGTTGCAAGCTACATCTCATCGAAGAAGATGTTACATCTACGCGATGGTTTGATTCGACGCTGTCTACGATTAACGAGTCGTTCATGACCGCTGATGAAAGCGGCAACAATTCCACGCAGTTTTTCTCAGTGTTGGAGGACAGCACCACAGAGACAATCTTAAATGATATCACTTATGATAATTTAGAGATAGATGACAGGGAGTTCACGCTTTCGAACGCTACTGCAGAGAGTACAATTGGTAAACAGGAGGAACTTGAGGAAGAGATTCCTGAGGATCAGGAGTTGATTATTTTCAAGTCACCACACTCTTCAAAGTTATATGGGCTGCAAAGTACACAAGATGAAGAGGGTAATCTGCTTAAATATCAGTATGAAGTGTTGTAAGTTGACAATTATTATTTTAAAATGTTTTACATGTGTTTATTATGAATATAATATGTTTATTTTAATTTTTTCAAAGCTTTATTTGCTTATATAATTAATGCCTGTTTCATGTTATTTGATACTTTAAGTTACGTGGACACTTTAATGTTATTATTAGTAATTTTTGTTTGTTTTTTGGCGCACAGGCAAAACGAAGATGGTCAATTTGAAAGTATTCCCGGCACAATTGAACTGGTACCTTATGATACAACACCCGCGAGTGTAATCCGAAATATCGAGTCACTTGAAGCACAAGAAGTAGGCGAAGCACTTTCCCAACACGATAGCATCGCCAACAACAATGAGAACTGTGATGAAACTGAAAATGATCAAATGAACATCAAACAAGAAGTAGAACAACAAGTTGCAGATGTCTACATAACCGGAGACACTGATGTTGACGCTAAACTGCAGTTTGAATATCAAGAAGGTCAGGAACAAGAACAAATGGTGCATGAAAACGAAACTTCTGATAGTCAGCGTGTAGCACATCAAGTATTTGATGGTTTATGCATGAATCTAGAGGAAGAACGAGAAGGCACACAGGAAGATCCACTACAGGATCGATATATACCCGATTGTTCTATTGAGTATGAAGAACCCTTTCAAACTGATCAAAATGAGGATAATCAGGGGGCGGAGAATGAAGATGAGGAAACTCGTGTTCCTGTTAAGCAGGGAATACTTGAAAGTGCTCTGGAAGGCATTTACTCTCCTGTTAAATCAGAAAATCCAATGGAACTATATGTCCATGATGAGGAAGATCAACCAGGTGACCTTGAGGTGGAAGAACCCGTTGTAGAAGAGGAGGAAGAAGATGAACAGGTTATTCATTTCCAGAAAATTCAGACTCAAACTCGTCCGGGTCATAGAACAATTGCATTATATCCCATTGGTAAAGAGGTTTCAAAGCAGGTAATTGCGACTATTGAATTACCCTGTAGGTCATATCCCAAATTGATTGTGAGTGATACAGGCGCACCTTTAAAGTGTCTTAACAGTTTGAAAAGATCGCATGGTGTTTCGAATTCGTTGGTGATATCACCACAAAAGGAAAATCTTGAAGTAAAAAGCAGTTCTTCCATTGGTGTAATAAAGAAAAACAACGTTAGACGCACACTTGTGAAGAAAACTGACATTTCTTTGGAGAATTTAGTTATTGAAGATAATAGCACGTCAACAAAGCAACCAGAGAGATACAAATCGGAGCGGGATAAAAAGAAGCATCCGTCTTGGAATGTCAACAAAATGATTTCACAGACGAAGATTATAGAAGCACCGATTAGGCAGGAACGTTTACCTAGGAAGCAGAAGATTAAACCATTGGAGAGACTTGGCGAGGAGTTAGTTTTTCAGCATGTTACTGTCACGGCGAATGGCGTCGTTGAGACTAAAGTGGATGGAATTGTCCGAGATAGGAAGGTTCTGCAACCAAGTGAATGTATTCATTTATCTGATAATGAGGATGAATTCGAGCGGAAAACTCGCAAGCGAAATTCGAAAAGGAAGCAGATACAGATTGTTATTAGTGATTCAGAAGATGAGAGCTTAGAAACACCGAAAGAAGATGAAACACCAGGAAAGTTGGACGAAAATAAGGAGGAACCTGAGGAAACATCATCGGATTCAAATGAAAAAGAAACAAATGAATGCCCAAAATGTTCGAAAACTTTTCCGAGTGCCGGTAGTCTAAAGACACACCTCCAATTTCATACTTTAGAAGAATTAAAAACAATCGATTCGAAGGAAGCAAAAGGTAAACATGTCTGTTCTATTTGTTCAGAGACATTTATAAATGCCTTCCTAAAGAATAAACACGAACAATTGCATAAAGCACGGACGAGAAACGAATGTGCGGTGTGTAAAAAACTGTTTAAAAACTCAATGGCTTTAAATGTTCATCAGAGATCGCATGCGAAGGATAATTCAGGTCAGACTTCCGCGAATTCAAATGTAGTCAAGAGGAGGTCTTTAAGGAGTTATGACAAATCTTTACAACCGAAACCAGCACAGTTTTCATCATCGAGAGTGACACGAAATGCTTTAAATTCAAATTCTAACAAAGTCGATAGTGAGAAGGGCAAAACACAAGAGAATAAAGCCCGATTATCACATATAGTCCCTAGGAAAACCATTTTGGCAAAAAGAACATCATTAATACCTACAAAAACTGATAGCGGTAGGAAGTCATTGATGCCACCACCTGCAACGACTCGAAAACCCACATTGCCCACAATTTCAACCCGTAGGTCAATATTACCTTCAAAGATGGCACCTCCTCGATCAAGTATGACAACGCGCGCTTCAATCAGCAACCAGACGAAACCTTCAACTTCTACTCGTCTATCAATCTCAAAAATGTTCAAATGTTTGACTTGCAATCGCGTATTTTCAAACAAAATACTTTTGGACACGCATATTATTAAAAACTGCGTCAAATCACCACGACGGCCGTTGAGATCACAACCAACCGAATCAATACCTTCAGAAAACAATAAATTAAACATCACTAGTGCCTCCACATCAAGAAACACCTCCACACGTTTATCAACAAATTTAATTGGTCGACACCAAACTAGGTCGCATTCTACGTCGATGATCAACGAGAATGTGTCGAATATGTCTCTGGCTAATTTCAAGTCCACCTCGAGTTTAAATTTGACCATTGGTGAAAACAGAAAGAATTCCAGTAGTACGAAAAAGATGCCTTTGTCTGCACGTCACCGGATTACAACGAATGCGGGCATTCCTGCGATGGGCATGCGGCATAGCTTCCTGAACTTCAAGCGGAAACTCATGGAGAAGGACAGCGACAGTGAACAGGAAACGGACAGTGTATTTCAATAACACAAGGGGAACCAATTAAAAGTTAGAATTACAAGTTTAAAGTGAATATGCCGCGTGTGATCGATTTACAATTGATGAATTCTGCGTCTCACGCGTGGCGTTCACATATTTTATATAAAAATTAGTACTACTTTGAGAGAGGATTAACGATGTGTAAGATGTACAGTGTTTTAAATGCTTGTCTTAATATTTGTACTGAACGTTAATATGTAATTGATAAAATATTTAGTAAATGACACGAACAGTTTGTGTTCTCAAACTATATTTGAAAAGTAAGTCCCGGAAAGAAGTGTCCTTGTTTCGGAAAAAGTTTTGATTTGCTATCGTAACAATATGTTTTTAATCTAATCTTTAATTTTTTATTGACATATTCTATTTGTTTGCTATTTCAGTTTTACAATTAGATTAGAGTTTATCATTTCGTGATGTTCGCGTTTTATGCGTCGCATTCCTCACTAATCTTATTTTGTGCCAGTTTTATATCTTTGCTTTTGATCACAACCAATCGCAATACACTCTGAAAAAAGACAGAAAGCATTGCCAACAGTGCTACCAACTGTGAAATTTGTCTCACTTCCTCTCGCAGAATTTCAACTATCTTTCGCTTTTATCAGTTTACGTTTAATACTTAGGTAACGCCCGCTGCAGGTACACGATTTGAGCTAGTTCTGTTTCTTTATTTTTATATAATCCATTATTTAATTGTACGTTTAAGTTAAATGTTTTGCCTTGAGGGCATCGTCAGAAATCTGATTTTTGATTGCAGCACGTTCTCTTAAGAAAGACAGAAAATAAGTGCAAACAGTGCTGCCAACCCTAAAATGTGTCTCTTTCCCACCCGAAAATAGACAACTGTCTTTCTCTTTCATCATTTGTTGTTTACATTTGTATTTGGGTAAAGTCCCGCTGATGCGCACTTCGAACGCACGTAACACTCTGGTAATTCACATATTCCAGTCAGCACTACAACTCATCGTCCTTGACGAAAATACCCGGGGAATCCCATCCCAATTTATGCGTAATTCGTCGTGGGATTCACACAGGATAAAAATATGTCGGTGAGTAGATAGTATCGTCATCATTCGATGGTGAGCTCTCGAAGGTTCACATCCCGCATTCATTTGTTTCAATCAGTTAGAAGTTATACAAAAGTTTATAGCAAAGTGTAAGGTTATACGTGTGTGCGTTGTGCGTGCCTTCAAGCACCAGGAACATATCAAAAGTGTAGATGTAATTTATTGTCATTATGGAAAACTACACGAATATTGTTCCAGCCACGCTGGAATATACGGGTATTGAATCATTAAATGCATATTCTTGGGCGGAATTTTGAATGATGCTAATGAAAAATTTGTTTCTTTTGTAGATTTGAGCATGAGTTACCCAAGCAAATATCCGACGCCGTCGCCAAGCTCCGACGCTTCGCGGTCACCAATTTACATGATGTTGGGCAATGGTAATACACCCGTATCACCAAGAATGCTTGAAGATTTTGAAAGCATGACTTGTAGTATTGCTACTGGACAGTTTGAAGGTTTTTATTAACATTTATAAAGTAACATATGTAGATGGGTGTAGAATGTAGTGGTTTTTGGGTTGCTATTAATTTGTTAAGTTTTCATTTAAAAAATGAATATCTTTATTTTATACATATCTATATCAATTTAACTATTTTGTCAAGATTGTCACCTGGAGATACTTGAGCAACCTGTGGAGAAGTTCAGATTCAGGTATAAATCTGAAATGTCTGGAACACATGGCAGCCTGCAAGGAAATTCTACTGAGAAGAACAGAAAGGCTACCTATCCTACAGTACAGGTAAAACTTCAAAATTACCTCTTTAATAAATATTACAAAGATTCTTTATAGTTAGGCAACTAAATATGCCAAATGTACGATTTATATTCTTTACTTAAAAATCATTATTTACAGTTGAAAAATTACATGGGGCCTGCAATTATAAGATGTTCCCTGTTTACCTACTCGAAAGAGGCTCCAGAACATTTTAGATCACCACATCCTCATCGACTAGTCATGAAAAACGATTCTGAGGAACGCGTCGATCCGCATGATAAGCGTGTTGACCCGCACACGAATCCGAATATGAAAGTCGTGTAAGTTTTTCATCATTTTTATCGTTGTTTACGGTAACATTGCATCAATAAACAAAGTGTTTAGTTACAATCGCATAAGTGGACATTTGTATTTGTTTTTGTTTCAGATTCAAGAGTATGGGTATCATACATACAGCAAAGAAGCATATTCAAGACGAATTAAAAATCAAGAAAACCAATTTGAAACTTGAAGAGATTCGGCGTTCGGAGGCACCGCGGGCCCTAACAACGCGCGAGGAATCTGAGATCAAACAACAAATTCTTGATGAAGAGAAGTCGATCAACTTAAACGTGGTGACTTTGCGTTTTGACGCATTCAGGGAAGATTCCACTGGTGTCCTACATAGACTTTGTGAGCCATTATACAGCAACCCTATTTTTAACCTGAGTAAGTACATTTTATAACTTTTGTTTATTCGGTGTTATATTTTTAATAATTGAAGAATCCGCAATGACTGGCGATTTGAAAATTGTTCGCATGGATCACGCCACGAGTCCTGCATCAGGAGGTAAGGAAATCTTCCTTCTGGTGGAAAAAGTGGCCAAAAGTAAGTCATGCGCATTTTATGTCTTAGAATAGTGAAATAAATGAAACGTTTTGGTTTTTGATTAGAAAACATCAAAGTTCAAATTTTTGAAGTTGATGAAAACGATGAAAAGATTTGGTCTGCGGACGCAAAGTTTCACGAATCTGATGTGCATCATCAGTATGCGATCGTGGTGAAAACACCGCCCTACCGTAATCCGCACATTGACGAACCAACGAAAGGCGTTTTTGTTGCGCTGTTTCGCCCGTCCGACGGGGAGTGCAGCGAACCGCGGGGGTTTACTTATACTCCTGACCGCACCAGCAAACGAAAGCGCCCGAGGTATGACGCAGATCTTTCCAGCTCGAGCATGAGTCTCAGCATGGAAATTCCACCTGTGATTCTGAACATGGATCATCCGACGCTGGCCAGCGAAGAATTGCTCAAGCATGCGCCCCAAGTCAATTCCGACGATTTTAATCGTTTACTGCCAGATATGTTTGGCGACATTATGGAGAATTTTCAGGGCGAACAAGTTCCGAATTACTATTCATTACAGACCGATGCGGTCGGAAATGCCGAGTTTCAGTCGACCGAGAAGGACTTGAGTAAACTCAAAAAGCAATTCTACCAGATCGGTGCCTTTATTAAAACCGCCCAGCCTGATGTGGAGAAGATGATCCGCAGGAAGTTTGAGGATAAGAGCGAGGATGGCAATAAGTATGACAATTTTGATTATTTTCAATCATTACTAAATGCTTTTCAAACATTACTAAACGGCTTGAATGCGAGATCTAGATACAGTTACTAATTTAATGTTTTGTTTGGTACGCGTTGTAGTTTTAATACATTGTTTTCAAATTTGCTATCCGGGCCTCACATTCTTTGGGTGTGCGTGTTTGCATAGTTGCATACTATCGCTTTTAGTTTTTTAAATATCTAAAGTTGGCGCTGCTTTTGCTTTGAACTATTATTGATCAATGGTTTCAAAATGGTAAATTATCCGGTATTTTTCGCAGGTGAAGAAGATGATAATAATTTAAAATCATTTAATAGTTCTTTATAAACGATCAGATTAGGTTTATCTCCTTTTGCGAGTGCGCAATTCATGTTTTTAAAATTTTCATTATATTTTTTTACGTGGTAATGAATTACAATTTCATCTGACGATGCATTCGAGATGAAACATTGAAAACTCACACAAAAGAGTAATTCATTGTTATTACAATTATAATAAAGAAAAATTAGTTAGTCATATATAGTGTTTTTTGCATTTAACGTGGATGCATATTTTCGGGGGCACGCAATAATTTTGTATTAAAGATTGAAGAATCGGAGACGTTTGAGCGTCAACTCACTGCTGTGCACTGAAATTGTTTTCAATTTCTGGTCAGAGCAGCGAGTTGACGCTCAAACGTTTCCAATTTTTCAATTTTTAATGTATCTTTATTGTAATCAACAGCCTCCTGCATCTGTGTCACATACACTTCACGGACGACTACGCCAAACAACTGAAGAAGAGTCTTCTGGGTATAATTGATCGCTTCAAGCTCTACGACCTCCTGAACGTGCCGAACAACTACAATGAGACCATCCTTCATCTTGCACTCAGGAATGGAGCCAAACACAACCAACTAAAAGATCTACCTTTGCATCACATGAAACTCGATGCAAGATACGCTTCTCCTTTGCATCTAGCAATCAAGTATGACTACGGTATCGAAGAGGTGTGCACCCATTTCAAATCGCAAAACGTCGTGGAAGGCTTGGGACAGATGAACGGTACCTGGTTGACACCGTTGCAATATGCAGTGGAACAAAATAAACTCTCTGCGGTGAAGCTGTTGATCTTCCATGGGGCGCAGGTAAACGCGCAGGATAACCGCACGGGTAACAACATCCTGCAGACGGCCATCTTGGGCCAACAAGAGGAGTTGATTGAATACGTGTTAAAAAACACTGCGGTTAATAAGAAACATACGAATTACGATGAAAAAACTGCGAAAGATTTGGCGATGGAGTGCCTTGAAGAAATAAAACTATTTAATGTCTTGAAACTGCTGGATCCAGCAGCCGTGCCGAATGATTTTGAGTTGTTTGAGTCTGCGCTGATTAAAGATGAGGAGACTTCGTCCGAATCGGAATCAGAGGTGGAAGTGTCGGATATGGTTATGGATATTAAAACTGAAGAGCTCGTTTTTGATGACCACATCGACGAAAACCTAGAGATCCCGCTCGAGCTTGCTAAGGATCTGTCACATATTAAACTGGGCAAGGACATAATTCGTAAGTTGTATGAGGATTTAAACTTTGGTTACATGCTGAATACGGACGCATTCGAAGATCGAAATCCTATTCAATTCTTGGCGCATTTGGCAATGGTATGTTTGCATATTTATTCTAAACAATTTTACGACTTGAGATAACCTTCAGCTCATAGTTTATGCTGCTCATTATTATTTGTATAGAAGTCATTTCGGTTATTTAATATTTAATGCAGCGTTGCGTGTTTGTAGAAAACCGACATCAAGTTTTGTTTTCAACAAGTACCCGCAAAAATATAATAATAATCCGTATTTAAATAAAAACGTACAATCAGCCGCTAATTGTACATATGGTCGATTTGAACAAATGCGAATATAAATAAACGGTTCTGTTTTTATTTGTTTCAGACTAATAACGTTCATCTACACGAATTTCGTGCGACGATGAAAAAATACAACATTTCCGAGGCCGTGCACTGTATAGACCAGCTGATAAGTCGACTTTAAGGGAATCATGAGTGGGTGTTGTAAATATGAATTTAATTCAGTTGATCTAAATTGATGTTCGAAACATTCTGCGATCAAAGCTCGAGTTAACACGAATGTAAGGTGTTGCCAATGTCATCATTTATTGATAATGTTAATAATGTACATACTTTTGAATTCTTGTTTACTTTGCAATGTAAACACTACATAGATATCGTCTAAAAAGTAAGTGAGCTTGTTAAAAATTTCAAGCGATTGGTAAATATGCCGGGCGTAATTACTGTGATTATTGTTATCTATTGTTGAAAGTTCTGCTAATTAACGTCAACAAGTTAATTCGATGGATACTGAACATTCCTAGCACACACAAACATGCGTGTAACCACAATACCAATTTGATATATCTGTCAGGAGCTGTTTGTATTGCGCCGTTACTATCTGTGAAACGGTGCAATCTTCAGAACTCTCGTATAATTTATTATAACGCAAAATTAATTTGCTGATTTGAACTGTATACACTCGAACATATGGATGTGGGAAGAGTGGGAGACGATAGGGAGCTAGTTATACCGCAACAAACACACCGCACGCATCAATCCTGTTGTTGCCTTCCTGCTGGTCAGTGTGGCTCAGTGAAACATAATTGTAAGAACGCGTTAATAAAATGGCTCAGAGAAATCCAGAAATTAAGTACACTAAGGTAAAATTCTACTGCATTATTTAATTTAAGAGTTATTTTTAATAATTGTAAATTAAGAATTATCAATTTGCGCTATACTTATTATTGATTAACTTATCTTAAATTTAGTTAGTCTATAGGTTACAATAACTTTTTAACGATGCTTAAGTCAACTTGAGGCAACGATAAAAATACTATAAAAATTTGTCATCAAATGTTATGTTTGGTTCAGTAAAATTGACATATGATTGGTTTTATTTTATTTATATCAAACCGGTTCACGGTTATATTTTATGCGTTGTTGATTAATGTTTATTTCTTTATTTGTACGTAACCCAAGATGTAAATCTAATTTTTCAGTTAGGTTTAAGTGTTTTATGCTAATTAGCTGACATAAAAACTGCAGGAATTATGAAGAAACATGTTTATGTTTTTATATGATTTCTATTTTGAGAATTATCTAATGCGCTACTTGCTTGTTAAAATACAAGTGTACCTATGTATCATTAAAAGTGTATTTATTGTCTTAATATTGTAACAGTTGTTTATCAACAATGAATTCGTCGACGCTAAAAGCGGGAAAACTTTCCCTACAATTAACCCAGTAAATGAGAAGAAGATTATTGATGTTGCCGCCGGCGATAAGGAGGATGTAGATGCAGCGGTGGCGGCAGCTCGCTGTGCTTTCAAGCGGGGATCCGCGTGGCGTTCGATGGACCCTTCTGCACGTGGAAAACTGATTTACAAAGTGAGTATCCCTAAATATGGTTATAGTTGAACTAAAATTTATTTTTGGATAATTCTTGTTCTGCGAGCGTATTGAAAATGTCCCTAGTGATTGTATGTATTTGCATAAATGTCATATTATGAAAAATTAGTTATGCAAGTGCATTATTTAATTTACAGCTGTAACACCTTAGTTGTTTACGACTTCAAAGTGACGATTAGCAGCCTGTAGCTAAAAATATGCATTCTATTTTTAATACCACTTCAAATCGAAACATGGTAACGAAAAGTGAATTCCAGGCCGCACGATTTTAGATAATATCGGAATTGTGCTGGTTATGTTTAGATTACCATACAGTTTAGAAACTCAAACATTTGTATACTGTATATTTGCATTTCAAATCTATTGCTTCTGTTAGTTTTACGTGTGGTCTTCAAACTTGACTGTGTTAGCACTCTAGTTTATTATGATTATGATGATTTATTCTAGTTAGCACAACTTGTCGAGCGTGACATCTCATACCTGGCGTCCTTGGAGTCGCTGGACAATGGTAAACCATATGAGGATTCCATCTTCGACATCAATTGCGCCATTGACACGCTTAAGTACTATGCAGGATGGGCTGACAAGATTCACGGTCTAACTATTCCCGGAGGTATATAATTAAAAAACAAAAACATAATTTACATCAAATTTATTTTCTTTATTGTTTTTTGTTGTTGTATAGATTGGGGTGTAACATCGATGACAAGAAAGGAACCAGTTGGTGTTGTGGGTCAAATAATTCCATGGAACTATCCTATTCTTATGCTTGCCTGGAAGTGGGGACCCGCATTGGCTACCGGTTGCACTGTTATTCTGAAACCCGCTGAGCAAACTCCACTTACTGCTTTGGTACTTGCTGCTCTCAGCAAGGAAGCTGGTTTCCCTGCTGGAGTGATCAATGTCATCCCTGGGTATGGTCCAACTGCAGGCGCCGCCATTGCGTGTCATCCTCACATCAACAAAGCTGCATTCACCGGCTCCACCGAAGTGGGACACAAAATTTTGGAGAATTCTGCTTTGAGCAACCTTAAGAGGATTTCTCTAGAATTAGGAGGGAAGAGTCCACTCGTCGTTTTTAACGATGCTACATGTAACTTTATTAGAAATTATTGTTGAATTTGTTGTCTTATGTTGGATTGTATTCTTTATTTAGTGGAGGAAGCAGTTGAAATTGCCCACAATGCAATTTTTGCCAACCATGGCCAGAATTGCTGTGCTGGTTCCAGGACCTACGTTCAATCAGGCATTTACGACGCCTTCGTTGTTAAGGCAACCGAAATGGCTAAGGCACGCAAAGTAGGCGAGCCTTTCACTGCTGGTGTCCAACAAGGACCTCAAGTAGATAAGGAGATGTTTGACAAGGTATTGGGTCTCATCGAAAAGGGTAAAAAGGAAGGTGCCAAGTGCATGACTGGAGGTGCCCGCCACGGTACCGAGGGTTACTTTGTGCAACCGACGGTATTTGCTGATGTCAAAGATGACATGAGTATTGCCAGACAAGAGATCTTTGGGCCTGTGCAGAGCATCTTTAAATTTGATACTCTTGAAGAGGTAATCGAACGCGCAAACGATACTACCTACGGTTTGGCGGCTGGTTGCGTTACCAAGGATTTGAATACCGCCATGACTTTTGCACAAGCTGTGCAAGCTGGTTCAGTTTGGTAAGTTTTGATACGTGCATGATTATTGTAATTTTTATTCACATCATTTGTTTATAGGATTAACTGCTATGACATGGTTATTCCACAAGCGCCTTTCGGAGGTTTCAAGCAGTCCGGAATGGGCCGCGAACTTGGTGAGGACTCGTTGCACGAGTATCTGGAGACGAAAACCATCACTATGAAATTACCCTGCACCCACTAATTTTAATAGTGGGTTTTTAATATGAACATATACTATTGTTTTGATTTATTGCAAAATGAATTAAATGAAATATTTTTGTATTTCAAATAACATTGCCTTGATCTGTAAATCCGGAGTTATTTGAAGGTTCTAGCTAGCGTGTTTGCAGCTAAATCCTAGATATGATAACATTTAAAAAAGTATTATTTTCCAAAATATTTTCCGACCCGATTTTCTCAGAAAGTTATAAAGTTAGAGAAGAAGTTTCTTCATTTTGTTTATGGTTTAATATGGCTCTATAAAATGACAGATTTATGTTTTTCAATTTCCAAGATTGACAAAAACCACTCAAAATCAGTGAAGTATGATTTTTTAAGCAAGGGAAAAATGTAAAACGGAAATTGATAGAGTTTTGCACAGAGATGATAAATATTCAATCAGTTTTTTGATATCACCATTATTTCAAAAATAGCGTATCTGAAAATCGCAACTGACCATATTGAATCACTTCTCTGATTTTCCGAAAGAATCAGACTAGTCGTGTTCCACGATGTAAAATATTGTTCTGCCTACTAATTTTAAGACCAAATTTCTTTATCTCTAATAGTTTCCAAGATTATCGTAAAATACTGGATTATTCATTTACTTCACATTTCTTAGGCAAAAAATAAACATTACAACTATGAATTTTTCATGGCAAAAGATAAGGGAAAACGTGATTTCACATAATTAATTCTGTTAATATTTTATTATCAGACTCATTATTAAGGCAGTCATTTCCAAATGAAAACTCTTGATAAATCAACAAAATTTGATGATTAAATAGAATAATCATATCTATATATATTAGTGTCCATACCCAAAATGGATTTTATTTTTCAGACAAACTAGATTTTGACCTAAAAAAAAACATATGAGACCCAATTTCAGCCCCAGTGGATATTAAAACTGTGCCTAAATCATAATCCTTTTCTATATTTAAATAACATGGATTTCCTGAGTTTTGTATTTAATTTTTAATTCCAAAAGTAAATAAACCCGTACAAGCTCGGATAAAAGATATATTCTAATGCAAAAATTTTACCCTCTACAAAAATGGATCTCTTTGGTTTTTGCTTAAAAACATTCCCAAAAAGTTATTTGCGATTAAAGTTATACACATAGTTTATAACTTACTTACAGTAAATTCTAACTGCGCCACCTATAATCAATTGATCGAAACTAGAGTTTACGTTACAATAATCGCGTGTATCGACAACGCGACTTAATCTTGAATAATTTTACATAGGGTTTATCGAAAAGTATTCGCACTTTTGTAGAGCGTAAAATTCCGACAAAATATGTTCCAGCGGTATTTTTAGCTATATTTAACCTGATAAAAACAATAACTGTAAAAGTGCAAAAATCCCATGTTATTTAAAATGTGGGAAAAGGATTATGATTTAGGCAATGGTTTAATATCAACTTTAAGGGCTGAAATGATCTCATATTTTTTAGGTCAAAATCTAAAGTTTGGGGCGTCTGAAAAATAAAAATCCATTTGGGGAAGCCAATAACGGACAATCTCTAATATATATATAAAAGAAAGTCGTGTTGGTTACCCTCCATTATAATCCAAGGCTAAAGAACGGCTAATTTAGCTAAAAAATTGGCGGAGAGGGTAGCTTAGGGCCAGAGAAGGTATGGATACTCTTTTGAAATGAAAAACTTTTCTAAAAAGGCACTAAAACGACACTAAAAAGAGACAAAACATATTTCTATATGTATGGATTATCTTGCGGGAGAATAAGAACGCAAATACAAAGTTTTCATTATCCCCGTCTCCTTTGTGCGCGATGCCGTAGCATGTAAAAATGTGTACGTGTGGGTTAAGTTGACCGGTTGATGTTTTCGTTTGGGAGTAAGGTTACTAAACGACAATTCAAAAGCGAAAACAAAACATTCGCTTATATGGTTTAGCTGACGGGAGAAAAAAGCACAAATATAATGTTTCTATTTTCTCCTCCTTGTGCGCTCTTGCAGCGCTTCCCACTCCAACAAGTGACCAAAACGATCAAATCTTATCCGACAAAACCGTACGTGCAACTAGGGATTCGAAGGGATTATGAATGAAAATCAGCGAACAAAAATGGCACGTAAAAAGCGCCGTGTTAGTATGATTTGAATTCGTGCTTCCTTCACAAGAGCAAAAGGAGGCGGAACAAAAGTTTGCTGGGTCAGCTAGTAGAACATATATTTCCCCACAAATCAAGCAACTGAGATCCAAGTTCTCCCCTTACAGCCCATTTAATTTCAGAGATAATTTCAATAGAAAACCATAAACTGATTTCGAACAGAATCGATTTCAAACACAAGTACTATCCTGTCTTTCGGACTCATTTATTAATATTTAGGTGCAATGACAGAGAACAAATATGACCTTCATAAAACAATGAGATTTCTAATGACAGAAAATCAGTAGATTTAGTGAATATCAAATAAATAATTTACAATTTATTAACACATCACTGCATATTAATATTAATAGTTAAAACAAACACTAACACAAATCCATTATATATAAACTGTAGTTGTATACCAACATTTTATTAGTTCGTGTGGTAATACCCCATCAACATGTTAAAAATTCTTCTAAGTTTTGTCTACGAATATAATCATAAAGGCCCAGCGCGTGTGGAAAATGTATCATTTTCCGGCGCCATGTTGAAAATGGTCTACTTCTCTGAATCAAAACGAGCCCAACCAATTTTATTCTTCATGTATTACATCAACCCCATTTTTATATTGTGTGGAATGGTTTGGATGTATTTATTAAAATAATGTGTATGTTCCATAGATTTTCGTAGATTAGAATTAGTTTTGTTTTCTTCTTTATTTTCCAGTGGAAGGACGAGAATTTAAAGAATACGCATCCTATCTCACTGTTCTATTGGTGTATTTAATGGGATTATTTATTATCATATGCTGTCGGCGTTCGAAGAAACAAGGCATGTATATTTACGATATTTTAGCAAAATGTCCGTACGTTGCATTCGATCATCCGGCATTGCTCGAATACCACATGTTTCATAATCGTCTGCTTTTTGCTTGTCATGATTGGCGCAAGTGGGTTTTGGATATTAGTTTACGGATTCATTCTAATCATGCAACACTTTTATGATAACATCGAAGCTATCCTGCCATATGTATAAATTAATATATTACAAATCACTTTAATCTATCAAACATTATACTGTTTTAGTATTATCTGGTGGATATTAGCAATAGTCCATTGGCACTATGCTGTCGAGCTTTTACAAATAATCGAATTGATCTTTGCTGTTATTTTAATTTGGAGTTTGACGTCGGCATATTTTTGTTTTGTGTGTTATTTGGAGTTTCATTGCTCACAGATCGTAAAGGAATTAGATGTTTTGAAGGATGAGTTAAATATAAAACAAAGGTATCGTGATTTTGCGCGAATTATTGGCCGTCATCGCTTTACGATACTGTACTGGAACAATATATACGATATGTTTAAAATTTCCCTTTTTGGAATTGCAACTGTTGGAAGTGTGACGCTTGGATTAATTGGCATCACATTATTAATTGTACAGTATTTTTATCATTTCCAATTTCAAAAACAATTAAAAATTAACATTAGGCACGTTTATAGGAATTTCAAATATTTATTTTTGGAATATCTGTGATGTTCGTGGCGATTGCATTAATCGGTGGAAATGTAGCTTGTCGTTTGGAAGATTGTGTAGATATTGTTCGCAGTATTTAATATATATTTGCAATACAATTTGTTTTTTAGAGCGAAATGCTGCAATATGCAAGTTTTCACGCCATACCTTGGGACGGTGACATGGCACTTGTAAAAAGTTTGCAGTTTATGAATTTATGCACTAAGCAGAACTTCACTATTGCTTTAGCCAATTTTACTTATTATACGAATGAACGATTAGTGCAGGTAAGACTTGAAGATTTGAATGAACTATTAAACAAAGAATGAATTGTATTTGTTCACAGATTGGCAAAACAGCATATTCCTGTATAACTTTTTACAGAGAAACCCTAAACTAATGTATTATATTGATTTAAAGATTACACAACACAGTTTTGAACTTGCTTGGCATTACTTTTTTTAAAACATGCGCTGAAATAAGAAAATTTGCATTTAATCAGCTGAAAGCATTGAAAATGTGTTGTTTTTTTAAGAAAATAATATTTTGAAGAAAAAAACCGGCTGATTAAATATTGCTTCCGACCTTGGAATGTTCAGTGATTATTGTATTTACAAAAGCCAAGAACAAACATGATTTTAGATAAGATTTATGATCATTAAGAAAGAGAACTTAATTTTCAATGAATAATTTGTCACAACATATCATTAGAAGTACGTCAATATATACTACATTTCGGTAAGACAATTTTATTTATTCGGGCGATATTAACACGGCAAGATGCTAAAAATCCTTCAAAATTATATCTGGGAATTCACATTCAAACGCCCAGCGCGTGTTGTAGACGTCTCAATTTGTGGTGTTGTATTGAGTAAATTCTACTTGAATGATTTAAAACTGGCTCAACCATTTCTATTGTTCATGTATTACATAAACCCTATATTTGTAGTATGTGGCATGATTGGTTACAATGCTAATATGTTAAGTATGTTTCCACCAAAAAATAAATTCAGTGCGTTAACTTAGATGTTTTAGTCGATGGTAAAGAATTTAAAGATTCCGCCCCAAGTCTTGCTGTTATGTTGACATATGTAACGGGAATATTCATGATAATGTGCTTTCGACTTCAAAAAAATGGGGCCAAAAGCATTTACCATATGCTGGATACAAATTCGTACGTACCTTTCGACCATCCAGCATTGCTCGACAATCACATGTTGCATAATCGTGCACTTCTGCTAATCATAGTTAGCGCAACTGCTTTCTGGATATTTCTGTTCGGATTGAATGCAATCATGCTACAATTCAATGAGAATATCACACCCTTATTTCCATATGTATAATATATATAAGCACAATTATATACGTTTCAATTTTATATCAGGAAATTTTCAGTACTATTTGATGGACATTGGAAACAGCCCGTGGCACTATGTAGTGGAA